GAGCAAAAATTTTCTCAAAAATGCTTATTTATAAAAAATATGTCATAAAAATTTATGAGTCATATACAACGATATAAGACTGTTAAAAATTATAAGAAAAGATGAAATAGTTGGTTCTTTTCTTCTTTTTTTTTTTTTTTTTCATAAAAAAAAGATGTAAATTGATTTTTAAATAATTGTTTTGATCATTTTTGCTAAAGAATGCAAAATATTCCAAAACTGCTAATGCTATAACATAAGTAATTTAGTGAGACAGAAACAAACCTTTTTCTATTTTCAGAAACTTGAAATAAAGAAAAAATTTTTGCACTAATTATTTTCTATTCTCGCCTAAACATCAAATTGGAAATATAAATTAGTGGCTAACTGACAGAATCGATGTTAACGCATGCAATCTTCCGAAGAAAATATGATTTTAAAGAACAAAAGGAAAAAAAAACGCATTTTAGAAGTCTCAAAAGTAGAAGCATATAAATATCGAAAACTGCAGCTTTACACATCATTTTAAACTAATTTTTCAAAAGGTAAGCTAAAAAATTTAAAAAGAAAGAAGATGATTCCTTGTCAAGAAATTCATTTTGAAAGAACCGGGAAATAAGCATATACTCGTTCAAATATGTAAAAAATTCTCCTGCTTTAATAGACTTTTATCTCAAAAGAAAAAACTTTCTTTTTTCTTTTGATTTACTATTTACAAAAATAAGAAAAAACCGCAATATAAGTACATTTTGCAAGTGAAAATCAGTTTAAGCTTAAAGTTTACTAAAAAATGGTAAATGGTTCCGGAAGTTTTGAAAAATTTCCTGAAACATTCAACTTCAGTCAATTTAGCGAATTGCAACGCTGAGTTTCAAAATTCTTTGTAAAACTTCCTTCCCATAATGTTGGCTTATTCGCAGACTTAGATACTGAAATAAAAATAAAGGCTTTAGAGGAGCCATTCAACAAAATAACTAATATTTTGAGTCAATTTGGCGATAAAGCAGAATTTTTTCTTGTCAGTTGAACTCTATTTGTTCGCCAGCTGTTCATCTGGAAGCAGTTTGCGATAAGCGGAAAAAATATATCCGCACTTTTGAATCCCAAAGCAATCCTATCGTTTTTTGCTTTTTCACAGATTTGCTTCAGAGTTTCTTCTCTTCAATTTTACTTGAATAAAGCAAAATTTGTAGCCCCGTTTCTCGATGTAATAAAAGGTTAAGTTTGCTGTAGCTAACCTGGTAAAACGATTAACGATTAAAACTCAAGAAGAGAGTGCCAAAGTGTGCAATTAAGTCAAACTGTAAGCTTAAGTTTCCATCTTAATTTAACTAATTATTTTTGAAGCAACATACCATCCGCGAAAAAACACTCGTCTAACTTTATAAAGCGCACAGAATGTAGCACTTAAGAACAACAAATTGTGGTTGACTAAGTGCACAAACAAATTCTTTCAATAATCAACACAGAACATCAGTAAACTTATACTTGAAAGCGTGAATTGCTAATGAGTAAAAACTCGGGTGTTGTACTAGAAGAAAAATAAATAACTATGAATAAGTCATAGCCATTCATCTAAGAATAGATCGAAAGTTTTGATATCTTTTGCACAAAAAATGCAAAATTTTCTTAAGGCATTTAAGTTTATCTCTTCGCTATATTTCTTCATTGGGACAACAGAACAAATTTAGTACTGGTAACTACAGCTTTCTTTTGATCAACGTTCAAGAAACTATGTTTTAAAATTTTATAAAAGTAGTCAACTGCGAGTGATAGGCTCATATAAAAACAAATCAAATCTTGTATTGGCTATCATCAGAAAAAACTTTTGCTAAAATAAGCAAGAAATTTATACCATAGACAAAAATGCTAGGTAGTATAAGACGCAAGGAATTTTGCTAAGCTCTTGTAAAAGAATAAGCTCACTGTCAAAGCCCTGAAGATCAATACCATTGGTAAACAAACTCAAACGAAGCCGAAATCTAATTGAATCAACTAACTGTTTTCCGTCAAAGCAAAATGCAACACTGATAAAATAAAACCACTGTCTTAATTAAGTTAGTATAAAATACTGTAAAGATGTTGAAATAAATAACAGTTGCAAACTTTTTTTATAACTTAGCATTTTCTTAAGCCATTATTTCAGACGTTAGAAAAATCTGCAAAAATGTTAATAGTAAATACGGCTGAAGCATATAAGATATTTTGTATGCCTTTTAGATATTTATCATACGAAACAAATCTAAAAACAATTAAGGGTTTCAATACAGAATTTCAAAATATATATAAAGTCGAAATACATTAAATGGCTAAGGTTGATGAACAGTATGATAAAAAGGTGGAATACCAGAATAAAATAAGCTAAAGCTAAAGAATAAATTTCATTTGTAAAATAGTAAAAAATCCCCCAAGTTTTTCCAAATATTAAAGGACAGATAAAAAGTGAATTTCTGCACCTTGCTTCCACACTACCAATTGTATGTTAGGTCTAAACTTGTTAGACCCACACTCTTTTTGAATAATCTTATACTTCTGCCTCTTTGCAGCCTAGTACTTCATAAGAAAAATTTTTAAATATCTTAATGAAAGACTTTAAATCTAAAATTTACCTTACAACCTTCTTATAAAACTTACTTCACTCGTCTAAATATGCATAATCCTGCGCAAAAATTTTTATTTATCCACAATTGTCATTGTTAACCAACATTAAAAGTTTATTTACAAACCGCTTGCACGTATCAACAATTTACAAATTTCTGTGAAATGTATTTGATGAATACCTCAATAAACACAAATAAAACAGTACTGCAAAGATAACTATGACTTGAGAAAACAAAAGAAAACAGAACGTGGAAACAATAAGGCTTTTTTTAGTTGCAAAAAACAATTACAGAGAAGCCAAAAAAGAACCGGAAAAAAATAAATGGAAATAGAGCAAAACAAGTTAAACAACCCAAGCATACAGAAGCGTAGGTTAAACTTGACAAGAACACTTGTAGGCAGCCTTCTTTGATGCTGCAAACATTTCTTCCCTGAACAATGTCCATCTTCAACAGTGCTTAACATCCAAAAGGCAACAAAGTGCCCCTGTACGGATTACCAAGAATCATTCGTTGCCCCTTCCTTTCCAATGATCCTCTGTAATTCTGAACAGGGATCTACTCCGTATGTGTTTTTAGATTCAACACCATCTAACAAACCCACCATGATACATGATTCATAACGGTAAGGCAAGCAGAGTTGCCTTGATCCCAAGACGATTCAGAATCTCATAGACAGTAAAACAGCAAACGCACGCTCTTATGTTTGAATACTACTGATCTCTAATAAACGAGAAGCTTATTCAAAGATTTCCAGAAAAAATTTATTTTACCTTTGTAAATGTTTTAAGTTACTTCTTCAAAAAACAAAATTTCACCGCCATTTTGAGAGGTAAATTAAGAAAGGGTCATAATTTCCTAAGCTGCTGTTTTCCTCACCATTCATTATAACTTATGTTGTAATCACAGCCGGCTAACAGTCTCAATAGATGAGTTCAGTAAAATTACACAAAAATCGTTGATCAAGGCTAGCCCCCAAATTCAAAATCTCTACTAAATAGCTGCCATATTATACTTATATATTATACTTATATACCTCCTGTTTGGTATAGTTTAGTAACTTACGCAGTGATTTTCGCCCTGTCAGCGTAATTCGTAGTACTACGTCTTCTGTCCAATCTGAAAACTCACGGCCCCAATTTGGCGACCTACTAATTCCAACTCTAGTTTTGGAATAAAACTTTGCGTAACAGCTTCTAACTTGAAAAAACACTAATCTTGGCCTACTTTTTCTAGCATAAATTCAAGTCCAAAAAAACCTTTAAATCATGACCGTAATAGCGACAAATTTAGTGTTGAACAAAATCCGCACCTATAAAATACACTGCAAATGAGTTGTCAATGAATAGATGCATTATATTTCAATAAAATTCGAAAAAATTGTACAGTTGCACTTTTTCTCAAGATAGCCAAGTACTTCTTAAACTTCTTCTAAATTAAAAATGACACTTTTCATAATTAGCTGCTCCTTGACTAGTAGACAGCTGGAAATGCTGCTGAATATCACATCATCCAAAGAATGTAGTCCACCCCGGAAGGTAAAACAGGAAGCCATTTTCAGCCACCATATATGCTGTAATACCAGAACAGGAGAAACTATTGAACATTTCTGCAGAGACCTAGCGTTTGTGAAACGTAAAAAAACGTGAAAATCACTTCGACAAATACTTGATTAAAATAAAGATAACTCTTTCCCAAAATTACGACATATCCTGTTGACGTTAACCTAAGGAAAAGATATAAATTCGAAGACCTATCTTGATCAAGAAAACTTAAATGTTATGCCTTTGAACTACGCTGACGTTCAGCTGATATATTATGCGAGTTGTATAAGGATATCTTAGTGACAGTTAACGAGTGACACATCAGAGGCAACCGAAAAAAAATTTTTTAGGTCGGACTAGTAAGCTTACCAGCACTCAGATTCTTTGAACCAGGCACTCGATGGCCAAATTTGGTAACTTTCTGGGTTTCATACTTTTATCATTACTTCTTAAGATGACAAGAAGAGTAAAATTTTTGTAGACACTGGAGAGAAATCCTAGCAGAAAATAAGGAGAGAATATTTTTTTATTACAGATAGACTACAACTTAGGGAAGTTAGGAAGATAAGTATGAGAGAGTAGATTTTGTTTTAAAAGCACAAGAATAAATGCGGCAGAAATCAGGATAAGTTCAAGATAAGTTAATAACATTTGGTTAAAACAAATTTAAGTTGAAAACATAACAATAAAAACAGAGTTAATTGAAAATGTTTTAGCTGCCAGAAGATTTGAAACCACTGAGTGGCAAGGTACCTGGCATAAGGCAAGAAAGCTTCAACAGGTGGAACACCACTTTTTTGACCCCTCAACAGCTTGGACAGTGACTACACACACGAAACATTCAGGCCGGGCTAACAATTTTTACGGGGCACTGTTCTCATTCAAGACTTTTCTTCTGATAGTAAGAAGCCAATGTCTGAAGCAAAATACGCGCATATTCAATTCTGTCTTTTTAACCCTTTGATAAAACCTTAACTAAATAATAAAAGTCAGAGGGTTTTTCATAAATTGACCTACCTTCCACGCTTTTGGAGACATGAATCCCTCAGGTGGTTCGACACCTTCCCTTGCATAACGGCGCATTTTAGTGCCACTTATAAACAAGAAATCGTCCTTACGACTTGGATCGAAAAATGCCATCTTTTTTTGCTTTTTATCATACGCAGCAACTCGAAACGGGATTATATTCAGATCAGATAAACCAGGAGCCATTGTTAAAACCTAAAGCACTGATCCGCATCACTGAAATCATTCGTTGCCGTGTGGGAGATACTGTGACACCTCACATATCTATCCATTTTTAGTACTTTTGGTTGCCCTGACACCTTCAAGGTACCTTCTTAATGTGTACCAAGAAGCGACTGTTTTCAGTGCATCGTCGTTAACCCTTCATCATATTTCTGCACAAGCAATTTACGTGTAACTGATTCATAAATAAGCAGAAATTAATAGCCCGATTGTGTTGGTGCGAATAATCAGTTTTTTAAGAAAAGTTTCAAATTTAAAAAAAATCATATTCACAGAGCAATTCTGACTGCTTGTACCTTTGAGCCATGGGTCGGGTCATAAAGGTAATCGCCAGTATCTGGATGAGCGAGTCCTGCAGGGTCTCTTCCAACAATATATGTTGTTACTCCAGCCGCAAGTCTGGATCTTGCATGCCACTGGACCTGAATAAAAAACGATGTCATATATGGCGCATTACTAGAAAATGTGTCAGATATAAGCGCTAAATGTAAGCCTTGCCTCTGTAGGACCAGCATAAAGCATTGGCGAAGGAAAAATGGCAAGAATGGTCCACTTCGGATCTAAAACACCTTCTTCCATTACTGCTTTGTGTTGCTCTATGCGCACATTCAATGGAACATCATCATCCTAAAATAACTGTTTTTTATAACAACAGAGAGCATAAGCATCACTTTCATGTGCCGGAAATAAGTTGTATTTTAATAACCATGAACTTCAAAAATTCAATTTGAAGCTCCTTTTTTCTTAGACACAACGAGGCTTTGAACACCTATGTTCCACAGCTTGAGTAGTCAAAGAGTTGAATATAAACCATTAGCAACCAACACCTTTGTCCATCCTCCCAAAGGATGAAGTAGAAGCATAGGATTCTTATATTTCTTCAGTAGTTGTTCACGAGTGTCTCTCATCAGCAAAGCGTGACCATTATGTATAGGATTGCGTAATTGAAATACAAAGACGGCATCACAGTTTTCCTTTTGAAATCGTTGTCTCAGTTCCATTGGCGTGAGCCTGTATTCATCCAAACCGTCTTTGTATTTTATCCGATCAAAAACCTGAATTAGAACAGTCGATGAGAACGAGGAACGCTTACAACGCAAGAGTAATGCATTGAAGTAGCACAATATATGAGATTTGGCTGAGGTAATTTTTATTATAATACTACATTTTTACAATTTAAGCGCTTCGTAAACGAACCAATAAAGAAAAACGATCTTAATTTAATTCATTATTAGTGATTACCACCAACTGTGTCTGATAAATACCTCAATATCGCCACCAAGCAGCCAATCTCCTGAATCCATTATCATGTTGATGGTAGGGTGCCTTCTGTCAGTGAAACCAAACTGACGTGCCACTCTTTCTTCTTTGCGATGAGGAAATAGCTCAGGATCTTTCAACACAGCAACTATTTGTTCTTTAAAAGTTAGGGCGATCGTAGCGCTGATGACACCATCTAAAATTTTGACCAATTGATGGTAAAAGTTACGTACAGTGAAAAGCTTAAAAATCACCGCATTTCTCACCGGATGTGATCGCTTTTTTTTGCTCGTCGGTTACAGGCAGAACTATTGGGACAGACTGGTTCACCGGATTTTGAAGAACATCAGAAGATTCTTTGGGGTCTTCTTCTGATGAAAAACCTGGTTCGACGCAACTGCGTTTCAAGTCAAGAAGCAATCCGTGGTGAAGACATTGTAAATACTGCCTTTCGCGCATAAACCCCTTCAACGGAGTGGCCCATCCTTCGGACAGTACCTTAAAAGGCGTAGAATTAAAGGATAATTGACTGCAAGAAAGGATATGAAAAGAAGATATTTTCTCAAAGCACCCTATTTCTGTCCGCGAGTCTAAAACTTTTTCAGCGTTGATGTATTAAAGATTTAGTTTTGCTTGCTGAACGTCGCGGCACGCAGAACGAATTTCCAGTATGATATTGTCCTTTGTTTCTGAATCTTACTGTAAGCTTAAGATCATTCCAAAGGTTGTTAGTCAAAAGCTTAAATATTAAAAGGTATCAAGCAAAACAGTTTTATTGCTCATCGTTTGCGTGAACAAAACCTTTGTTACCATAGCTGCTGTCCACTATTTGTGGATTAGGTCAAAAATATGAGTCAAGAGCATCACTAAGGAGCTTAGTGTTGAGGTAGGAGTTACCGGATAATTTAGAAATGTCAATCCTCAATTGTTCGCACTTCTTTTCTTCAGTTTAGTATCGAGTATAAGAAAACACGTCGCCAAATATCTATTCAAAATTGGCCCCTAATAAACAGTTTCAAATAAGTTTCAGACTTGCCTATATATCGACCTTCGATGCAAATGATAAAAATGTGATGACAGTGATTGCTAGCTAATTTGTAACTGTTCACTACAATTATTATTCAACTTCCTTTTGACCTATTCTAAGTAACTCAACTAAGCATCGCATCTGTTTCAGTACAAAAAACTGTTGTTTTCAATTCAGGTATTAAAAATATGAACACCTATGCCTTTAAAAATTTATGCAATTTTTTTCTGCGATTGACACCTTCAAGCATCTCCACTCGTTTTAAACAAAACTGAAGCACAACTGTAACCATTATTAAATTAGCAAAATTGCCTTGAAGATAGTCTCCGGTAAAACTGAATTCTGCGTTATACAGTTACAAATCCAAACAACTCCCACTACACTAGGTATCAAAAGGAATGGTGTTGTGAGAAACCATAAACATTAAAGCAAAACTCTCACATTATACTGTTAGAAAATTAGCAAGAAGTACATAGACAATTCTGAAACTATAGCAGATGCATTAGACAAGGTCGAGAATTCTATGTACAAAAAAATTTGATTGAAAGTTGGAAAGCAAATTTGAGAACGGATAAGCTCAAATGCAATAGCGCTGCAGCACTTACCAACAGATTACAATTTGCAAATTGGTGGAAAATCTTTGAACCATTGTAAGACTGAATCATCTAAAATATATGAATTCATCCTATTCAATTTATATCGGACGAATTGTTTCTGTGCAATTAAAGTCACAGTTGTTACTGTTGAAAAAAGAAACGCAAAGAAACTGCTATATATTAAATTCAGTATTGATAATCCTTCATCCAAAACGATTCATAATAGCCTAAAATTCTCCTGAGGTTATAAAGGAAAAGGGAATAATCGTTGCGTCCAACGAAGGATTGAGCGCAAGTACCTGAGTCACTGGATTGGGCAGGAAGTGGAGTTTAAATTCGGGTTGGAGAATATAAAAAGTTCTGTTAAGGCATTATCACTGTTACTGCTATTGTGTCTAGTTTTGAGTTTTTCTCCTGTCTCGACCTTGGCTGTTTGAGTCAGTTAGACCTTGTTGTTTCACTTTAAGATATGCTAAGACGCGTTTTTATTCTGTTGAAAGTTGACGTGTTGTTTTGGCTTTAGGAATAAAACATGGATAATGCTGAACTACTATCGCAGCCTGGCCTAGGTACGCTGCCTAGATGATGACAGAATGTTTTTTCACGTAAAAGCCATATTATGGTTCTTTTTTTCACTGAAAACTATTATGTGCTAATACCGTAAGGCCCACCTGCAGCCACTGTCTGTCAATTTCTGTGATTTCAATTTTTGGTGCTCCTGCCGCTTCACTTAATAGACGGGGTATTGCATTGACATCGGTGACAAAAAGCTCCTTCACAGGAATCTCCGAATAAATTCTAAATGCTTCTGTTGGCAAAATCCCCTAAAAGATTGAGTTTGGAAATAAAAATAACTTCTTTCAAGGATAAAGCCTGTACGATTACCAGCTTGCAACACTCACAGCCTTTTATTATAAGATTTTGAAGCTAACCTTTTCATACAAAAATTCCAGCAGGACTCGAACACATTCATTTTCTGACCATTCTCCAGCCTTCAGAATAAGATCAGGAGCCTCTGGCACTTCATAATCACTATCAACACCAGTAAACCCTTTCAGCTTGCCGGCTCGAGCTTTCTCATAAAATTCTGAAAGGAAAAATTAGCACTACTTACTTTGGAAGTTTTTATTCTGTGAAGGAATTATTGCAATAATAACGATAGATTTTAAAATTATATTTGTTTCACTGCTGCCCCTTGTCTTTCAAGCTTTAACTAAATTTATTTCTTATGAAAAAATATGTGATATAGGGGTGGAGATTTAAACGCACTCTTAGGATCCCGTTTTTCACAAACATTCAGGGGTGTATTGACGTATACCTCGAAGAACTTAAGACCATCCTGAAACCCGCTTGCCATTAAGAAATGATAGAGTTAACACTGAAATACTAACATCAAAAAGATTAATTTTTATAAACCTTTAGATGTATCTGCCGCGCTCCGTTCCGATCACAAGCGTAAGGGCTGATGAATGATGCAAGAGTAATAACTCCCATATCAGCAAACAGTTTCGAGACTTCAGCAACTCTGCGTATG